TCACAGAGATCTGCCTACCTCTGCCTCCCGAGTGCTGGGATTAAAGGCATGAGCCACCTCCGCCCAGCTCTGATCCTCTTTCATCCACCTCCCTGATGCTGGGACTATGGTGTACATTACCACAACTCCCTGTGAGTTCTAATGTATGTGCTTAGACATTACTGCCTCAGAAAGGAAAGCCATGTGGCACTCCAAAGTGCCTGTGATTACCCTACCTAGGGGTTTCTGTTAGTTTTTTAAGTGTTTGAAGTGCTCTGTCGGGCAATAACTCTTCAATAAGCTACATCCCAGCCCCTACACATGGGAATTTGCTCAGGGCTTCATTCGGTTGTTGAAAGCCACTCCACTAACATTAGCCAAAAAGGGATTTAATAGTGGGACACAGATACTTACAGAGCCATTGGGAAGATAGGAAGTGTGTCATGGCCAAACTCCCATTGCCTCTGCTATCACCACAGGCAGAGGTCCTGTCACCCAACACCCTCCAAACTGGGGACAAGAGAGTGGATAACCTGTCTTGTGCCTCTCCCCATCTACCAGGATTGGCTATTCAGCTGCTACCCAGAGGAAGAGGCCTCTGAAGATCTCACTGACAGGACCTCATTTGCACGGCAGCCTGTACACAGATGCTTAGGCAGAAGGATTGTTGAGTTCATGTCCAACCTGAGCTACAAAGTGAGTTCCAAGCACTGTATTAGAAATTCAGAATAACAAAAGGATTCCATTCACATTCCAGTTGCAGGGGAGTTGGGTACAGTCTCTTCTAGTGGAGGCAAAAAGAATGGAGCTTGAGAGCATCCATTCGAGAATTCCTGGGCCCATTCTCAGGATGGCTGATGCCAAGCCTGAGGACTTTGAGTTTGATCCCCTGAACCTACATGGTAGAAGAGAACCAGTTCCACATGTTCTTTGGCCTACACACATACACACACACACACACACACACACACACACACACACACACAGAGAGAGAGAGAGAGAGAGAGAGAGAGAGAGAGAGCGAGAGAGAGAGAGAGAGAGAGAGAGTAATAAAGTGTTACAAAATAAATAGAATACAGCACTTCAATTCTGGGACATTGCTGGTGGGGAAGGTATTTGAATTGGGTCTTGGTGGATACGGGGAAAGAGAACACAGTGCTTCCAAGCACCACAAGAGGAATATTAGGCAGGCGGTGGTGGTGCACACCTTTAATCCCAGCACTTGGGAGGCAGAGGCAGGTGGATCTCTGTGAGGTTGCGGCCAGCCTGGTCTACAGAGTTAGTTCCAGGACAACCAGGACTATTTCATAGAGAAACCCTGTCTAGAAAAACAAAACAAAAAAACAACAACCAAACAAAAAGGAATATTAAAGGGGTGAAGGCCTGGCCTCCAGCTGTCGGCTGTCACGCCCTGTTCCTTCCACCAGATAACTGTTTCTTTCTCTTTGGAGAGCCACCCTTCCTATTTATCAGTCATGTGCTTCCTGTGACGTTGACAGGACCCTCCAGCCTGGGCACCTGACAAGGTCTGACCAGTTAGCACGTACAGCTGCCCGGTCAGTGACTGGTCCGGGAAGAGATATGTGACACTTTACAGAAACAGCTCTGACTTTGGGCTTTGGGAGATGGCTCAGCAGTTAGGAACTCATGCTGCCCTTCCAGAAGACCCAGGGTCAGTTCTCAGTACCCACATGGTGGCTCACAGCTACCTGTAACTCTGGTTCCCAGAGGATTCAATGCTCTTTCCTGACCTCCATGGACACTGCACACCTGTGCTATACAGACATACATGCAGGCAAAACACCCATACACATAAAATAAAAATTTTAAATGTTAGAAAAGTTACATGCATTTTTATTGTGTGTCATGTACCATGACAAGACGGTGCAGATCTGTGGTCTCATGTAACCTCTGTGTGTGTGTGTGTCTGTGTGCATGTGTTTGTGTGTGTGTGCACGTGCGTGCATACGCATGTGCGTGCTAAGCACACTTTGCTAACTGGCCTGTGAGTTTCTGAGGATTCTTTTATTTTCGCCTCCCATCTTCCCACAGGAGCAACGCATTATAGACAGACACTTGAGCTATGCATCCAACTTTTATGTGGGTTCTGGGGATTCAGCAGGTCCTCATGCTTGTATTGAACCCTGTTACCCATGTACTGCCCTTCCTAACCTTGGTGTTCATATTTGAAACAGGGTCTTGTTAGGTAGCCCTGGCTGGTCTTGAACTTGTGGCAATCCCGTTGCCTCTGGACTGCCTGTAACTCCAGTTCCAGAAGGATCTGATTTCCTCTTCTGGCCTCTGCAGACACCTGCACTCGTGAGCATACACCACTGACCCCACGTACACATAATTAGAATTAAATGAATCTTTTTTAAAAAAAATGAAGAGCAGGCTGCAGCATACCATAACCCTGATCAGTTAGGATAGTCCAGGCTGTGCTGAGGTGAACAATCGCCCCTGGACTGGCCTCCATGTCTGAAGTGTTGGGGTTACAAGCTGGTGCCACTCTGAGGCTTTACCAGCTCTCAGAGTGGCTGGCCTAAATGCCAACCTCCCTTTTCACTTAGAGTTTCGTTTCCTTTGAAAGAGGATGATTGACCACAGGGAACCTCCCAGCCACCTAAACTCAGCTTACATGGGCTTCTGGCTGGAGAAACACTCAGTGGCTCCAGGCCCAAGGGATCCTGGGAGGTGGCTGGTTTTCTCTATCTTCAGGAGTTTGAATTGAGACAGTCCTGCCCAGAGATGCTATCTCACCTCTAAATGTTTACTCCTTGTGCAATGGCCTCCTCAGGGCAGGCATCTGGAACCTTCAGGTGAGGGAAGAACAGGGCACCTTGCTAGCTGGGAATTTTTTCTTTGACCCAGGGTCTCACGTAGCCCATGCTGTCCTTGGATTAATTATGTTAAGAATAGGAATGGCTCCAGTTGCCAAGTATACAGGCTGGACACTTTACAGAGATCCTGTCCTGAATACTCATGGCGGAACATCAACTTGGAGGAATGGTGAGCCTCTGCTTTACAGATAGAGAAACAGAGGTCAGAGGCCAAGCAACTTGTCAGTATGAAGGAGTAAAAGGAAGAGGCTGGATTAGATTTTTTTTTTAAATATTTTTTTGTTTGTTTTTTTGAGACAGGGGTTCTCTATGTAACAACCCTGACTGTTCTGGAATTCATTTTGTAGACCAGGCTGGCCTCAAACTCACAGAGATCTGCCTGCCTCTGCCTCCCGAGTGCTGGGATTAAAGGCGTGTGCCACCATGGCTTGGATTAGATGTCTTTAGGATCCTGCTGAGCCATGGCTGTGGCCTTGATCAGGACCAGATGCTTCATCCAGAAAAACTCCATCTCATCCCTTTCAAACCAACTTTGACCTTCTATGTGTATTTCATTTGAAATACTTTATTTGTGTGTGTGTATATGTACTGGTGTTCAAGTGTGGAGGTCAGCCCAAGGTGTCACCACGACTGGTTCCCTCTCACTGAGGGTTCTGAGACTTTCTGCCTGAGCAGGAGGAGCCTGCTCTGGGACTTCAAGAGCTCTGATCTTAGCAGGTGCTTTGTACACACCTGCTGCTCTTATGGGTCTCAGACTCTGAGCTGGGTGGACAGACACAGCAGAATGTGAAACAGAATCTCTGTCCTTGTGGAGCTCTGATGGGAGAAACTAAAAGGAATACACAGATACAGGCACAGCTTTAGAGATGATGGGAAAGTCAGGGCTCAGAGGAACACTTGACAGCGCAGAATGAGAAGTAGGGGTTAGTGGTCAAGGGCCTGCCACGTTGACAGGTCACTTTTGATCAGAGCCCTTCCTGCATCACTTGGGTGGCTTGCTTTTCTTGCTTCTCTTTGCAGAAACTTCCGTTTTCTCATCTGTGCAATAGGGACAAAGACAGCACCCTCAGGACTTAGGCTCCCAGTGTCTTTACACGACAGTTACCACCATTGTTCTGTCCTGGAGGAAGTGACCTTGTCTGGCTCTTTCCTTCCTTCTGGCCATTTGTTGGCCTTGGATTCATTCTGCCAGCAGATCAAGCCTCTTCTCTCAGGGCTTTTACGACTGTGGTTATCCTTGCTGGTGGGGCTTCTCTTACTCCTGGCTATTCTCCAGCTGACAGTTCTCTCTCCTGTGGTCTTTTTCCGACTAGTGCAGACCGCATCCAAAACAGTCTTAAGTTCAGTTGTCTTCATATCTCCTATCCTCACCTGTTATTACTGTTTCTTTTCTCCTCCACATGAATGCAGGGTCCTAGAAGGCAGATCTCCAGTGGCGCATCTCCAGTCCCAGGACCCATAACTGGCACTTTATCATAAATAGTGACTGGAATGAATGGATGAATGAGGGCGAACACCAGAGCCCCGGCCTCTGTATCCTTGCTCTCTCGCCGCGGCGGGCTACCTGGTTATTCAGACTCTGTCCACCACCCCTCGGCCCTCGCGCTGGGTGCTTGCGTCCGGAACCAACTCGTACTAGCGAGGTGCTTCCTGCTAGCAGGGCGGCGGCCGCGCGAGAGGGTCTCGAGGCTAGAGGGCAAGCGCGCAGTCCCCCGCCCGCCCCGCCACCACATTCAGGCCCCACCCCGCAGTGCGCTCCCCAGCCTGTCGGCCCCGCCCCCTTACCTCAGGCCACGCCCTTCTCTCCTCCCTGTCAGGCCTCAGGCCCAGTCTCCGCCTAAAAGCTTCTCAGGCTCGCGGCTACGCCCTTATTCCTCAGACTCCGCCCTTATCCCCCCCCCCATCAGACCTTGCCGGTGTGCTCCTCGGGCTCGCGGCGGCGCCCTTAGCATCAGGCCCCGCCCCCGTCCCGCCCCCACCGTAGGCCCCGCCCTTCTCCGGTCCCCGTCACACCAGCCTCAGGCCGGGTTCCCCCATCTGCTCCTCAGGCTGCGGGCCTTGCCCCCGCCCACCCCCGGCCTCAAATCCCGCCCCTCCCGATAGGCCCCGCCCTCCTGCCCCGCCCCCGCCGCTGCGCTCCTCTGGCCGCCGGCCCCCCTCCCGCCTCATGTGGCCCGGCCCGCGGCGGCCGGCGGCTGAAAGCGGCGAGGCGGCGGCGCGCGAAGCCCGGAAGGCGGCGGCCGAGGCCCAGGCGGCGAACCGGAGCGGCGGGAGCGGGGCCCGGGCCGGCCCTCGAGCGGCCGCCGGCTCAGCATGCGCGCCCGCCGGGGGCTGCTGCGGCTGCCGCGCCGCTCGCTTCTCGCCGCGCTCTTCTTCTTCTCGCTGTCGTCTTCGCTGCTCTACTTCGTCTATGTGGCGCCCGGCATAGGTAGGAAGGAGACCCCGCGGCCACCCCACGCCCCTTCCCGCCGTGGCCCGCGCCGCCGCCCGGCCGGCCCCGCGCTCCGTGACTCGCCGTTTCCTGCCGCGCCGCCCCGCAGCTCGCCCGCACGCTCGGCCTCCTCCCTGACGCAGCCGCCCGCGCCCCCCGCGGCCGCGCGTTGCTGCTGCCTAGACCCGGCGGGGCTGCGGGCTGCGCGCCCCTTTCCCCTCCCCCTCCTCCTTCCCCTGAGCCTGCTGCTCGCCCGCGGATCCTCGTAGCGGACCGGACCTGCTCTGGGGACCGATGGGAAGTTTGAATTGGCCCTGGAGGAGGTGCTGTGACAGGGGCCTTGGGGAAACAGTGCCAGGTGGAAGGGAGGGGGCGCTCAGAGAAGAGACGGAATGGGTAGCGATTCTCCTCCAAGGCCCGCCCTTTAGAGGGGGAGACGGTCTGGGGAGCAAACGAACCTTTCCCGGAACAGAAGGGAGGCTGATGAGAAGGCAAAGGCTGCGTGAGGGTTTAGGGCAGAGGACACTGAGGTCAGATGTCCTGTATGACCTTGGGCCCTCAGCTTCTCTCCTCTGTAAAATGGGGACATGAATCCCAGCCTCATCGGGTTCTAAGGAATGGAGAGCCATAAGTGCCCCTTTAAAGCTTTTTATCTCCATAGCGGATGCCCAGAGTCTTTGAAATAAATAAAATCTGTTACAGGTAGTTTGGGGGACAGAAGGAAAAAGGTTTAAGGGATGCGACTTGTCTGCCTTAGCGTGGTCTTGGAGTTCTGGAGAAAACTTCACCTCATGGTGAAAAATGAGAAGATGCTGTTGGGGGTGGGGCCGACTCTGGATGGTTGGGTTGGGTGCCGCCGGTGGGGAAGTGCCTTTGCGATAGAGTAGTAACTGCTGCTGTGCCCTGTTGACCTGGCAACTCTGAACTGGCAGAGAAATTTCCAGAGAGACGGTGGAAGGTTCTCCCCCGATTAGTTTTTAAAACTGGTTTCACTTGACGTTTAGATGTCGGTGTTTCGTACTGTCAGCCTCATCTGGGAAGATGGAAGAGCCAACATGAGATTGTCCCGACTGACTTGGTGAACGGCAGCCCACTAGGGATGTATAATTTTTGTGGCTTGTTAGGCTTACTAAGTAAAAGGACAGGAATTGTGGCTGAACAAGAATAGATAAGTAATTAGTGGAATTAATTGAGAGAAGAGCTCATTAGCGAATAGGATATTAGGTTCTCGGAACATGGGTGTGAAGTGATGGGTCTAAACCTGGAGGCATCATCCAGTCAGATCCTCTCTTTTGTCCTTTTGCGAAAGTGACGGGTGCTTCTGGTCTGTGTCTATATAGCCCCTGTATCTCCAAGGTGATCACTCTTTTGATAAGAAAGGATAGAAGCCAGACTCTCCAACAGAAATTCAACTTACTGACTTCAGATTCCTCAGTGGTCGATTTCAGGTCAGCGGATCCCCTGTGCCGCCACCACACTTAGAACCCCAAATCCTGTGTCACTGCAAGAGGAAACTTTTGACATTTCATTAGTAGCTTCTTTGAAGTATGCAAGAGAGCAGATCTATTGTGGATTCAAGTGTGTTGGTATAGAATAGGAACAGCAGGGCTGGGGTGTCGTTGGGTGGTAGAGTGGCACTTTGCATACCTAGCACTGGCGACGGGAGGAGGGGGTGGAGAGAATCAGTAAAAAGGAGGAGTCTTAGGATCCGTATAACCACAGTTATATTTAGCTGTTTGGCTGTTTTATTTATCTTGCCTTTTAGAAAAAGATTTTTATTTTGTATGTTTGGATGTCTTGCCTGCATGTATGTCTGTGCACCACATGCATGCAATGCTTATGAAGACCAGAAGAGGGCATTGGATCCCCTGGAACTGGAATTACAGATGGTTATTAGTCCCCATGTTGGCGCTAGGAACCAAGCCTGGTTCTCCCCCCAAAGCAGCAAATGTTGCTCTTTGCTGAGCCATCTCACCAGCCCCTTTCCATACCTTCCCTGTTAATGAACTTAGTTTTTCAATTGTCTAGTTTTCACCTGTGCTATGGTAAAGCTTCCTCAAAGGTTGAGGCAGTCTAGAGAATGTAGGGTTTATGTGTCTTCAGATATAAAAACCCTATTTGAGATGGTTATAAACATGAGCTTAAGATGTGTATTGTGGCACATGCCTTTAATCCCAGCACTTAGGGGGCTGAAGCAAGAGGATCTCAGTGAGTTTGAGCTCAGTCTGGTCTATATAGTGAGACAGTGGTGAGTTCCAGGACAGCCAGGACTACACAGACCCTGTCTCAAAAACTTAAAAAGACCTTAGAGGGTTGGAGAGGTAGCCTAATGGTTAAGAGCACTGGTTGCTCCAGAGGCCTTGTGTTCAATTCCCAGCAGGTACATGGTAGCTCACAACCATCTGTAACTCTGATTCTAGGAGATCCATCCCCCTCTTCTGACTGCTGAATGTACCAGGTATGCATATGCATGGCCCACAGACATGCACATAGACAAAACACCTATACATATACAAAAAAATTTTATTTTTTCTTATTTTGAGACTGGATCTTTATGTAGGCCAGGCTGGGGCTGGAGAGATGGCTCAGCCATTAAAGGCTAGGCTCACAACCAAAATATGTAGGCCAGGCTGTCCCAGAACTCACAGAGATCTGCCTGTTTCTATCTCCTGGGTGCCGTGATTAAAGGTGAGTGTCACTATATCAATCCACATAAAGAACATAAAGTCGAATCAAATGAAATTGTATCTTGTAGGGGCTGGAGAGATGGCTCACTGGTTAAGAGCATTGACTGTTCTTCCAGAGGATCAGGGTTCAATTCCCAGCACCCATATGACAGCTCACAACTGCCTGTAATTCCAGTTCTGAGGGATCCAGCATCCATGGCATCAATGCAAATAAAAATAAATAAATTTAAATAATTGTATTTTGTAGGCTGTGTATCAACCATAGTTCAGTCTAGTATATTTCCAAATGGTGGCTGGTCTGTTTTTCTGGTACAGTGGAAAGTGGCAGACCTGACCTTTCTCCCAGATACTCCTCTCCCCCTGCACCTTCCTAATCCTTGCTTTTGACTCCATTTGTAACCCTTATGACCATGTGCCCTAGGACTAAGAGACATCACCCCTCCCAGAGTATATCACAACTTAGTGAGACCCCTTGTCCCAAAACAGACTTGAAACTGGAGAGATGGCTGAGCAGTTTGTTGTTCTTCCAGAGGACCCGATTTTGACTCCTAGCACCCACCTACATGGGAGGCTCACAACTGCCTCTAACACTCTTTAAGGGATCTCAAGTCCTCTTCTGGCCTTTTAAGGTACCTTCACACCTATAGCACATGCATACACACACACACACACACACACACACACACGCTCGCGCACTCACAAATACACATTCTACACATAAATAAAAAGAATAAACTTTTTTTAAAAACATAGGGCTATAATTCAGCATTAGAGTTCTCATCCAGTATGTGTGAGGCCCTGTTTTCAATCCCTACTTTTGGGGGCTGAGAATTGAAAAAGAAGAGGAAGGGGAGAAGGTATTTGGACATGAGGTATCCTTCCTTGAAGCCCTTCTCCACAGCCTGAGGAATGTTTCTTAGCACTTTTACCTGCAGTGTTGACATACCCTCTCTTCTGGAGAAAACTTTGATCTTATTTATGACCCTCTGACTAGAGGAATTTCAGAGCTTAGAGGACCTCCAGGCTGACCGGGTCCTTTAAAGGAGAATGGGCTTGAGCTGCTCACAGATGCAGGTATAAAGTGCAATCTGATGGTCCCTTCTTTGGCAAGATGTGCAGGGCAGCTGACCTCCACCAGTTGTTACAACAGGAACCCTTGGAGAGTGGCCCTGCACGCAGGCGGTCAGGGCTAACGGCACACTACTGATATTTTACTATTTGAAGTTCTGTTTTGCCATTTCAACCAATTTTTCTCTGCTTCTTTGACAGTTGAAGAAAGGAAGTGGGGAATGGTTTTCCTGTTTTGGTCTCTTAGTCCCAAGGAAAGTTTGGTTTGTGGTGAGTGTTTGGAAGACAAGAAAGAGCCAGTTGTTCAGATCCCTCCTGATTTGACCAAATAATTTTGTGGAAGTATTTGGATTTCCTCATTTGTGTGTGTGTGTGTGTGTGTGTGTGTGTGTGTGTGTGTGTGTGAGAGAGAGAGAGAGAGAGAGAGAGAGAATTGAGGGCTCAGTGAGTAAAACTCATGACCTGAGTTTGATTCCATGTGGAGGAAGGAGCTCTGACTTTTATAATCTCCCCATGGCATACCATAAATAAATAAACAAACAAATAAATAAATGTAATAAAAAGTACAGAGATCGAGACAGGTCAGGGTTTTACTCACTCTAGCTTGGAGGCAAACCTTGAACTTTCAATTCTCTTGCCTATACTCTTTCAGTATCTGGGATTGCAGGCCTTTCTTTGTGTTAAAAAAAAGATTGTACCTTGCTAGGTAGTGGTGGCACATGCCTTTAGTCCCAGCACTCAGGAGTCAGAGGCAGGCAGATCTCTGTGAATTTGAGTCCAGCCTGGTCTACAGATGGAATTCTAGAACAGCCAGGACTACACAGAAAAACCTGTCTCCCTAAACAAAACAAACAAAAGAAATTACACCTCAGTCAGGCTAATGAATGATTTAGTATATGGAATGCTGCTAGTTTGTTGACATTATAAAAAGATAACTGAATTCTAAAAAAAAAAAGATTATACAGAAAGGACATGTTTTACGTATTCAAATAGATGTCTTTTTTCTAATAAACATTGGAAATAAATGTTCAGATCTCTTTTAGTCTGTTATGGCAGGAAAAGCCTTTTGTTGTTACTGTCTTCAAAATGCCTTCTGAATGTCTCCATTACTTAACACAGGGGGTTTTCTGGAGGAAACACAGTGGGGGTATATGGATTATTTTGCTCTAGAAAGTTAAATACCTTCTCCTGTTAAGACTCCCCCCTTCCCCAGTGTTCCTTTTCCAACTCAGGTTCACAGAT